TAACTATAACCATATAAAAACACGTATTTGGTCTAACTATAGCTAAATAAAAACACGTATTTGGTCTAACTATAGCCATATAAAAACACGTATTTGGTCTAACTATAGCTAAATAAAAACACGTATTTGGTCTAACTATAGCCATATAAAAACACGTATTTGGTCTAACTATAGCCAAATAAAAACACGTATTTGGTCTAACTATAGCTAAATAAAAACACGTATTTGGTCTAACTATAGCCAAATAAAAACACGTATTTGGTCTAACTATAGCCAAATAAAAACACGTATTTGGTCTAACTATAGCCAAATAAAAACACGTATTTGGTCTAACTATAGCCATATAAAAACACGTATTTGGTCTAACTATAGCCAAATAAAAACACGTATTTGGTCTAACTAACGGCCAAATCTTCTACCCATTTTGCCAAGTCACCTACTTACAAATATATTTAAAAGTACAATCAAGCGTGTAAAAACAAACGAATGGTCAAACGAATGAACCACAGAAGATGTCTCCTGGTCAAGTAGTTCTTGTCAAATGTCAACCAACATGACGCCAGTTATTCAGCGACTTTCGCTATTTAAAAAATAAATCCAAATGAAGTTCGTTCGGTAAATGTAATTTTTTTTAAAACATTAAATTAAGTATTTAGCAGGTGATGGAACTGATTTTAACACGGTATGACCAGTAGATGATGACCTTGAAAGGGCACGGGCAGCAGATATATGACCTTGAATGGGGAATTCAATGCCCAGCTCTTCAGACGCTACTCAAATTGTAATATGATTCCCGTGGAGGGGCGGGGGTGGGTGTAAAGCCCCGGGCGGGGACGGCCAGGTCGGGGCGAAGACTGGGAGGTACTATTGCGTCCCGACCCCGTCTGAGCAAATGTCAGAGGTAGGTAGGCCGAAGGTGTCACATCCGCTGTGCACGAGTTCCGGCCCTTTGTGCAGCCCGTGCCCCCCGGGATTTCCATCATCTGGCCGCTGGACGGGCCTGGCGCTGTTCGCCACTGAACTGTGACTGACCTATGTCCACTCTATGCTGTAGATGGGCGCAGCTCCACCCTGCCTATTGTACACGCTGGGTTTTCCCCAGATTAAAAAAAAACTACCAAAGAAGACTAGATCTAAACATTATAATTAATTATAAAGCCTTCAATCTTTTCTATACATACACAAGTTTTTGTTTACATATAAATGTTCTCGTATTTCTGCATAGATAAGTAGGTCTATGCCTCTGACAGTACAAAATATGCATTATTAATATTTATTTTAATATACCGCCCCGCATACTTTTAACTTTAGCGAGAAAATAACGTGAGTGCTACAGTAAGGTTAATCTATACAAGACTCTTTCTTTAGTTTGTTTACAAAAACCTAATCTATTCATCTATTAAAAAATCGACAAGATATTTTTTTCGTATTCAATTTAAAATTTCTGGATTATTTGAAAAAATGTATTGTAATGTGTAAGGATAAGAAGGTAACTTCAAGGCTACTTAATTATTAATAGTTTTTTAACATAGTACACAGCTATTTTCAACACTAGGATGAATCTCTTTCAACATTAGCACGCCACTATTTCATCATTTGGGGCACATAAATTTCAACATTTGTGCTCAGCTGTTTTGAACATTGGGGTGGGGGGGGGGGGGGGGCAGTTCTTATGATAATAGAAAACTTTTGTACGTCTCTACCGGTCTGTTCCGTGGATTGTATTTATTCAGCAGCCCCACCCTCGCCCCGTCCCCAGAACAAACGGACATGTTATTCAATGACCCTCGAGTAAAACGATGCTAAGCGACTAACGCCCCCCCCCCCACACACACACACTTCACGGCCATCTGTTAGAGACTGTGGGGGGAGGGGCGGGTACAGCCTCTATGGTCTGGTCATCGGGGTGGTCAGTTGCTGTCCGGCATTGTTCGTCACGGCAACACTGGGTGGTTGGTCAACGGTTGCTGCAACCTGCAGGGGCGTCGGCCCAGAGTACACATAGGGGGGGGGGGGGGGGCAGACCCACGACTACAATCTACAGGGGCGTCGGTCCACAGGTACAAATATGTGGGGGGGGGGGGCAGGTCCACGACTACATTCTACAGGGGCGTCGGCCATGAGGTACAAACTAGAGGGGAGGGGCAGGTCCACGACTACAATCTACAGGGGCGTCGGCCGATAAGTACTTGTGGGGGGGGGGGGTCAGGTCCACGACTACATTTTACAGTACAACTTGTTGAGACCACTGTATCGACCCCCAGAGTACAAACTACAAGAGCAGCAAAAGTGTGCTTTTTTCTCAATTACAACGACTACACAAGTTCAAAACCTATTAGATAGAGCATGTGTGAATAAACGTTGCTGTAAGAATAAGTTATTGTTAAATGAAAGAATAGAAATAAAACATCGCCCAGCAGTTTTATACAGAAGCTAGTTAAAAAGAAATGGTCAACAAAACCTCATCTTTTCTTACTCCCCTCGCCCTCGCCTAACATTTCACAAGGCAGTGTAAAACTATCACCCTGCAAACACGACCTTGAAAAGCTTATATCACTAACCCTGCCCTCCCCACCACCCACTCCCAAGGCCAATCCGTTCATCTTTTAAACACGCTGCGAAAACACTGAGCGACCTATTGTGGCTAGCGGCGAGATAATGATGGTCAAGCTGCCGGTCAGCCGGTCGAGGTGCCGGCAGAGATCTATCTGAGCGCACCATCTCCACGCTGATTTGTCCGGCCAGGGAACAAAGGTGTGCCGGGGATTAGGGGCATTAGGCGGCACCGTTATTTCATAGGTGGGTCACCAGGCGGGGGGGGGGGGGGGGTAGATGGACAATGGGTGGAATATATTGGAAGGGGGGGGGGGGGTATTAGACAGACAGTGGGGTAGATGGACAGTAGGTGGGGTGGGGGTAGTCACTGGGTGTGGGGTACATGGACTGTGGGGGGGGGGGATGGACAGTTGAGGTAGTCACCCAGTGAAGTGGATGAATACTGACCAAGACTGTGTGAAATAAGGATCTGTAAGTTTTAAGGATGATCAGAGTCAGAAAACAAATTAAAAGAAAATCCTCCCCCCTCCTCCCCACAAAATATATGAAGGTCAAGTTAAGCCTGAGACTAAATAAAACAGCTTTTAAACACCTGGTTTTTGTTAGCCCTGTGAATGTCAAGGTCAAGCTGACCAAAGGCTGGACATATAATACAATAATCACAGAGTTACTGGGCTTGGCCGGGCACTTAAAAAAACATTCAACAGGAATTTGCTCTACAACTAACTATCTACAACTAACAGGAATATGCTCTACAGTTAACTATTTACAACTAACAGGAATATGCTGCTAGTTGTAGATATCTTTGGTGATCCTGGTTTGAGTCATTAGCTTTATCAGCATCATGAACTATTGGACAGCAACATGGATGGACAAACAATACAATGTGACAATGGTAGTAACCTACACAATACATTTTTCACTGTAGTAGACTAACTTACACAATACATTCTTCACTGGGCCTGTAATAAGCTAACCTACACAATACATATTTCACTGTAGTAGGCTAACCTACACAATACATATTTCTCTGTAGTAGGCTAACCTACACAATACATATTTCACTGTAGTAGACTAACCTACACAATACATATTTCACTGTAGTAGACTAACCTACACAATACATATTTCACTGTAGTAGACTAACCTACACAATACAAATTTCACTGTAGTAGGCTAATCTACACAATACATATTTTTCTAGCCCCCCCCCCCTTCTCCTCCCACCCTTGTAGTAATATAAACAATAAACATATAGTCACATATAACTCAACCTGGGTCACAGCCATATATAACTATGCCACAGATGTATATATATCAGGTTCACTCTGTGCCCGTCACACAAATGTCTATACACAAAGCTGATGATATATTCTCCCCCCCCCCCCCCCCACAATCCCCCCACCCTGCCATTGTCACATCTGAGTAGACTAAATACACAACACAATGCTTGCTACATCTCAATTTAAACCTCTTCAACTATTATTTTTTAAATTCTTTTATTGTGATTGATTCAATTTTACATTAAATATTGATCTGAACCTTTAAAACCTTTTCATAGCAAACATTATTTCTGAATTCAGCAGAAAATATATCCAGAGTTTGAATACACAAAGACTTTATGTATACAAATAACGAACTCAGCCTATAAGTAGAGTAAATTTAGTTCAATCCATTTATTAACAAAATCTTTCTATTTGGATAAGGATGGGGAAAATCAGGAATATAAAAAAATTACAAGAAAATAAAGAGAAATAAATACAGGAGTTACACTAGTCTTGAGATTAGGTCTGATTTAAGGTCTAAATGTAAGGACTTACAGGCTTGAGATTAAACAGATGTAAGGAGGTTTAAATGTAAGGACTTACAGGCTTGAGATTAAACAGATGTAAGGAGGTTTAAATGTAAGGACTTACAAGCTTGAGATTAGGTCTGATGTAAGGAATTCTAAATGTAAGGCTTGAGATTAACCAGATGTAAGCAGGTCTAAATGTAAGGACTTACAGGCTTAAGATTAAGCAGATGTAAGGAGGTCTAATGTAAGGACTTACAGGCTTGAGATTAGGTCTAATGTAAGGATGTCTAAATGTAAGGACTTACAGGCTTGAGATTAGGTCTGATGTAAGGAGGTCTGATGTAAGGACTTACAGGCTTGAGATTAGGTCTGATGTAAGGAATTCTAAATGTAAGGCGTGAGATTAACCAGATGTAAGCAGGTCTAAATGTAATGACTTACAGGCTTGAGATTAGGTCTGATGTAAGGATGTCTAAATGTAAGGACTTACAGGCTTGAGATTAAGTCTGGTGTAAGGAGGTCTAAATATAAGGACTTACAGACTTGAGATTAGGTCTGATGTAAGGTCTAAATGTAAGGACTTACAGGCTTGAGATTAGGTCTCATGTAAGGAGGTCTGATGTAAGGAGGTCTAAATGTAAGGACTTACAGGCTTGAGATTACCAACAGATCTTGTGAACACAGGCAGGCCACTCCCACTGGTCAAGCAAATGAGGTAAGCCGCCATCTTGGGTAACACAACCTGAGAAACAGAAACTTGTGTCTTTAGTCTTCTATTGGCTCATGTCTTATAAAGTTACTAAGTCTAGTTCTAATCATTTTATTACCAGGATTTCATCATTAAAAAAAGACTATGTTTTAGTTAAATAACCATGTTATCAAAGATAAATATATATGTTCTAACAGCTAATTAAAAAAAAACATGTTCTCATAATTAATAACCATCATCTCTTTGTTCAATCCCTATACTTTTATAACAGAATAATAGTAATACTTTTTATTTATTTATAAGAAGAAAGTATTTTAAAAAAGTGATTGTGTTACACTGTGTGTGTATGAGTGAGGTAATAAAGCAACGGGCATGAATTAAGTAATACAGGATATAGCATAAATAATACAAGTCCTGACACATGTAATGTGCGGGGGGGGGGGGGGGGGCAGAGCCAGCTATATTAATTTATGACTTCTCTAATACAGCATGCTTAAACATGTTTCAGACCAGATACAGACTAACAGAAGAAACTCAATTATGAAATTCTCTAAATCTGATAGCATCAGTTTTACTTCATTTTACTGTCATTAGGTAGTGCAGTGCTGCTAAATTAAGATCATATACAAGAATTATTTTAAAACATCTTGCCAAGGTTTTAGGTCATTCTGGAGTAGGCCTACCTGTTAAGACTAAGAAATCTATTTTCAGTAACTTTATGCCAGTTGTAATAATTTTTATACTGTTTATCTGATATTATAGAATTTTTTACACTGAGGAAAATAAAAATAATTTAGTTTCTAATTATATTTCTTTTCATCGAATGTGCATTTTTCACAAAAACACAGATGGTAAAATTAATTGAATCCATTATTATTCATATTATTATAAATAATTTAAATCTGTTGAACGAAAGAACCCGGAAGCCATACTGACAAATCTAAAATTTAATGGTTAACCTCCAGTAGTTTACTATTTCAATATTTCACTACATCTATCTAATATATTGTCCCTATCCAACATATTGTGAAATGTTTTATAAATGTAGGCCTATAGGTCTGGCTAAGTCTTAAATCTGATATTTAGCAAACTAGTATTTAACAAGTAATCGCTGTATAATGTATGCTAATTCTAATTAGCAATCAGCAGGTAGAAATCAAGAAATAATTTATATAATTTATTTTTAAAGTATTCATTATAAGGCTTCTTGCGCAGAAAAGTCTTAGCACAGTGTCAACGTCAAGGCCCAAGTCAGTGTACTACTACTAGTACTAGTCCTATTAGTAGGCTTTTACTACTACTACTACTACTACTACTACTACTAGCTATATGAATAATTGACAGACTAGTAACTAGCTATGTTCGTATGTTGTACGATAGTATGTTAATTATTTATTAATTAATTTATTTAATGAACGATTATAGCGTCCATAACTTGATGTTAAATATAATAGTAGGCATATTAAATAATTTTTTCAAGAGTTGCAGTACTCAGCTTCATAATCATTAATATTTAACTCAATGCAACACGCCCACTGGTTGGTTGAGGTTATGCCAGGGGCTCGTTCTGCTAGGGATTTAGTAGTAATAGTATTACTACTATTAGTAGGCTACGGATGAATACATAGGGTCCACTCGAAATATTGAGTGATATTAATATTAGCATATTATGAGTTATTACTAGAAAAGAGTTAGGAGATCAATATTAAAATAAAACATTAAATGGCCGGTACTCCAGTTGCCAGTATGTATGGCGTATGGCACCACGAAACTGAGTCTGAGATTGATTGATTCTGATCAACTTCATTTACTTTTTCTGGACTGACATTTTTATTGAGGCCCTAGATTCCTAATTTCACTACCAAGACGAACATTTTGGAAGTCTACATTAGATATAGGAAATTAAAACAAAATTAACCTATTACTATTTGTCTTATTAGTGTTAAATTAAAATAACCTTAGTTATTTTTCCATAAAAATTTCCGCCGCCATATTGTAAACAAATCTAGAGTACAGTCCCTTATATTAAAAATGATTTGCTGTGTAATTTCGTTCTTTCTAATAATTATTTAATAATACAACACTGACATTCTTAGATATACTAAAAAAATAGTAAAGCAGCAACTTAACACAAAGTAATTTATTTTATCATACGTTGAATTTCCAGTAGTATGTTTAACCTGTTATATAATTATTTAACTAGGCATAAATAGTGTCTTCATGTAGCCTGTTAGCTAAACTTATAATTTTAGGCTAAATTTCTAGCAGAAACAAACGTAGCCTAGACTGCAATTTTACTTAATTTTAGCTATAAATTTAAAAAGTGTATAAATCAGTTTCAGAACTTCATTTATGTTTTGTGAATATTTAAAACTGAACTTGGTTTAAACAATCGTTCATTTGTTTTAATTCAAAAACAAAGTTAATACGTATTTCTAGACAGTGGCGTAGCGAGGTCGGGTGTCACCCGGTGCGGCACTTAATGGTGTCACCCCCCCAGAGGCATAGAGACCCTTCCCAGGGACAAACTTTCAAATTTTCGATTTGCACCCCCCCCCTCAAACTTTCGATTTGCACCCCCCCCCCCTCGAGTTTTCGATTTGCACCCCTCCCCCCTCAAGCGTTCGATTTGCACCCCCCCCCCCCCCCTCAGACGTTCGATTTGCACCCCCCTCGAGTTTTTCTCTATATATTTTGCTATTTTTTGCCTTGGTGTCACCCCCCTAAATGGTGTCACCCGGTGCGGTCCGCACCCCCCGCCCCCCCCCTCGCTACGCCCCTGTTTCTAGAGTTTTGGAAACGCAGGTCCTATCTATATAATGTTAAGAATATTAATTATTAACGCTAGGTAGGGTTAAAATGGTTTTGAAATACAGATTCAAATATAGGCCTATATTTCAAACAAAGCCTTTCATGAATATTTTAATTCAAAAATAGATAATTAAATAGGCCTACATTTAATGTTTTTTTACAATATGAATTAAGGCTACTTCTTCCCCCAAAATATATGCTAACATATTCACTCCCAATCTAACCCATAAATGTGCCTTTCCCCACACATCCCTTCCCTCCCACAAGACAGTTCCGCTAGTCTACAGTCCCTTCACTTAACATTTAAAAGTACCCCATAACCATCTTATTGATTCTATAACGTAACTTAAAAATAATCGATTTATACCGGGGACCAACCAGCTTCTCCCAGACTTAAAAAAAAATTTATAGACCAACAAAAATCTCCTTCTTTTCTTTGTAATTTACTTTAACTTATTTTTTCCCCTTAAGCCCAACTTCTTGCTCCCCTTTTTATCTGCCCCACCCCCCACACCCCACCCTGTCCCCCTCATCCACTATCAAACGTCGCACAGTCGCTACACTATTCCTAATAAAATACAATGACTTTGAAAACTCCACCGGGAGATGGAGACAGGGGCGGGTAATTTAAAAACCAATGTCTGTCCTTAGAGTGACTTATTCCTGGCCCCCCACCCCGCCAGCCCTCCCCCTGTTAAGTTGTGAAGTCCAAAGATTTCCTCAACCCAAGTTTGAAAACATAGTTATCCCCTCAGTATTGATCCAAGTTCAGCGTTGCAGTAACCATAGTGAGTTCAAAGGTTATGTGCAGCCAAAAAGCTTCCCTTTCTTCGCGGGGGTATTAAAACAAAAAAAACGAAGTGGAAAAAGTATGAAAAAAAAATCCATACTCTTGTCTCACTATGTCTCCCCCTTCCGGTCCCTACTTGGTTCCAGTGTCGCGCACTCACGACTCAAGAAAATGGGTGACGCCCCCAAACATTTAAAACGAGGCTTTCTCCATCCATATTTTCAACATCACATTTCGATAGTTAAATGAGAATAAGTATAAAACCGATTCAATTATGATTTAAATTAGACATGAATTGTAACCAAGACCAAAAATGCGTCACCGTTTCTTAAGTAAGTCACCCCCATTAGTCGCCGCCCTTGATACCATCCCAAGTCCTGTTTTCTTGCTCCGTTGGTCCCCAGGGGATTTGTTCCCTATTGATTGGTATTTTGGTTTCTGCCTAAAATATTTTTTAAACAGGGGGTACGCCAGGCTATGATAATAAAGCAAAAAATCCCTAGTGATTCGGTTCTGTTGGGTTTAATATCGGCTCGTTACTTGCTGCTTAAAATAGTTAGGTGGCGTCTTTGTTAATTATTTCAATATCTAGTCATATAGTGCTTCTTAAAATAGTTACGTATTTTCTTTTTAACGTATTTTTAAATATCAAGTCATTACAAACTTAAACTAGTTATATATTGTCTTTGTTAACTATTTTAGTATTAGATCATAAAGTGCTTTTTAGAATAGTTACAAAGCGTCTTTGTTAACTATTTTAGTATTAGGTCATAAAAAATAGTTACATATAACCTTTGTAAAGGATTTGAATACGAGCTGCTTAAAATAGATGTTAACGATTCCATTGCCAATTCGTCTATCAATTCATTATTCTCATATCAGGCCATTATAAAATTTCCGTGACAGTAGCTTAATAATTTACTTATAATATCAGTTGTATTATATTCATATATTCATATTACAATCATTACATATGCTTATATATTTAACTGTTACATACCATAGCAGTACAGTTGTATTACATTCACATATTCATATTACAATCATTATATATGCTTACATATTTAACTGTTACATACCATAGCGGTACAGTTGTATTACATTCACATATTCATATTACAATCATTATATATGCTTATATATTTAACTGTTGCAAAACACCTCTATAGTCACTAAATCTTTTATCTACGTAATTAGTAGAGTTGGTATTTTTTTAGGTCTTAGAGTAATGCTGTTAAAAAGTAAGATGTGCTGATTAGCTAATGGTTGGGATAGTTGTTCAGATGATATTTTGATGGGTTGGTTGGTTAGCTAATGGTGTGATGGTTGGTCAACTGATGATTGGATTACCTGAGTTGTTGGTGGGTTGGTATAAGGGTGAGTGGGTGGTTTAGATGATTGATGTATGTTAGTCAAGCATTGATGGATATCGATGGTTTAAGTTTAACAGAGATAACCAATATATAGATAGATGGAGATCGATGGTTTAACAGCCTGGCTGTTGCACTAGGTACTAGATTTATCAAGAAAAGGTTGATAAGTTAAGAATGATCATCCAAGAAATTGCTATCTCAGATCTGTAACATTACTATATTTTTCTGTTGGGAGAGTTACGGTGAATTGTTTGTTTTAATGTAAGTGAAGTGGTTGTTGGGTTTAAGTCACATCTAAAATTGTCACTTGTCTAGTTATTTTATTCTACACTAAACTCCACATTTGGCTTCCAGTTTTAAAAAGCTCCTGGCCAAGTTTGTATCGATATTCTGTCTTGCGTACATAGCGGCCGATGTTTGTCATCTTAATCCCAGCATCCCGGAGCCGGCGCCACCATCTTTGTGTTAGCGATATAACGTAATCGGTATCGAACGGCCAATTTTCTCCAAGATCCCCCCCCCCCTCCATCTGCATCATCCTCTTGAAGCCGTGAGTGTCGAATCGTTCATACACATTAGCGCAGTTAATGTTTCAATTTGTTGGCGTTGTTTAACTATTTTCTTTTTTTTTTTTTAGCAAATAATACATTGAGATATCTGCTAAAGTTTACAAATATATTTGCTGAAAATTAATATTTGTTTTGTTGGGGTATTTTTTATGAGCAGTTCTTATAAAAAATTAATTAGAAAACTTTTTTGAAGTTAAATATTAGTTAAAAATTAAGTTTTAAAAAAGTGTGAATTTAGTTTTTTTGTGTGAAAAATATTGATAATTAATGCACGCACGCTGCAGTGGTGCAATCATTATAGCCTACATTCTGATGAACTTACTGGTATCTGGTATATCTAGACTAGAGGTGGCTGAAATTTTGGTATAACAAAAGTAGAGGTAGCCGATATTTTGGTATAACAAGACTAGAGGTGGCCGATATTTTGGTATAACAAGATATTTTGGTATAACAAGAGTAGAGGTGGCCGATATTTTGGTATAACAAGACTAGAGGTGGCCGATATTTTGGTATAACAAGACTAGAGGTGGCCGATATTTTGGTATAACAAATGTAGAGGTGGCCGATATTTTGGTATAACAAGAGTAGAGGTGGCCGATATTTTGGTATAACAAGAGTAGAGTTGGCCGATATTTTGGTATAACAAGACTAGAGGTGGCCGATATTTTGGTATAACAAATGTAGAGGTGGCCGATATTTTGGTATAACAAGACTAGAGGTGGCCGATATTTTGGTATAACAAGAGTAGAGGTGGCCGATATTTTGGTATAACAAATGTAGAGGTGGCCGATATTTTGGTATAACAAGAGTAGAGTTGGCCGATATTTTGGTATAACAAGACTAGAGGTGGCCGATATTTTGGTATAACAAGACTAGAGTTGGCCGATATTTTGGTATAACAAGAGTAGAAGTGGCCGATATTTTGGTATAACAAGAGTAGAGGTGGCCGATATTTTGGTATAACAAATGTAGAGGTGGCCGATATTTTGGTATAACAAATGTAGAGGTGGCCGATATTTTTGTATAACAAGGCTAGAGGTGGCCGATATTTTGGTATAACAAGACTAGAGGTGGCCGATATTTTGGTATAACAAGACTAGAGGTGGCCGATATTTTGGTATAACAAGAGTAGAGGTGGCCGATATTTTGGTATAACAAGACTAGTGGTGGCTGATATTTTGGTATAACAAGACTAGAGGTGGCCGATATTTTGGTATAACAAGACTAGTGGTGGCTGATATTTTGGTATAACAAGAGTAGAGGTGGCCGATATGTTGGACCCCTCTTGTTCTGCCACACCCACTCGTGTTCCTAATGTCATGATGACCGCAGGTCGACTTCCGATTCTCTCCACCCCCCCCCCCTTCCCTCACAAAACACAAACAAAATGGCAGCCCGCTTGACGGCGGCCATGTTTCCCTTAATGAAACACGTGATTTGCTCGTCTTCCGATTAGTCTCTCCCTCGATC